ACAGATGCATAAAGAACTGAACACAATCACATGCGTCCTCCGGATATTCAGCCGAATACCTTCTGGGACTTTGGATCATTCCGTCTACTTTTCCGTCGAGCCCTCAGCAGCCCTGGCACGCAGGCGGATGCACCAAAGACTCCGCTGCGCAACGCCCAGCGACGTCATGGCCCCAGTGGGTTTAGTGATGAGCAGAGGGATGCCGAGCAGAAGCAAGAACCGTCATGAGTCATGCTGCAGCCGAACTTGGGCTCAGCAGAACAGAGATTGAGCAGAATAGAAGCAGGACGAATCACTCATTCTGAACTGGGCCGGTTGGTGAACAATTAGCGAGTCTTAGAGCGTGCAGTGCCACTTGAAACCCCGACTTGAACATTCTAAGTGGAAACTCCAACTGCAAGCTAAGCAGCGCAGGAGCAACCTTTTTCATCCAAGACAATTCACTTCGTTGTATAGCTGCCTTGGCCTGGCCAGCAAAGATGGATCCGGCCTTGGTGGTGTTGATCACTTTCCACGCCGTTGCGTTGATTTGTGGGGCGTTGACTCAAAGGTTTAGTCGCCCCACGAAACTCAGTCTGAGGAGTATGACTCGATTACTTGCAGTCGAGCTCTTGGCAATCGTGACAATGGACTCTCCTGTGATTGGATCCTTTTCCGCTGGATACTTTCTAGCATGTGGTCCAGTATATTACAAGAATGCCCAAGACCTGCGGTGCCTCTTGTATTGGGTTGCATTCAATGTTTTGCTGCAGGCTGTCATGGCTCCGCTCAACCTATATGCTACTTTGAACAGCTCGAGCATTCAACACACAAGAATCCTCAACTGGATCGACTTCATCTCACCGACCTCTTACCAAATCAGTGCCATGGTATTTCCATTGAGTCTTTACCTTAGGGAGGCACAGCATCATGTACAAGTTCAGAAGGAAACACAAGCTCGGTCCACAAGTCGTGATATCAGCAAAGAAGAACCTAAATCATATGATGGTCTTTCTCTTTGTTTGCTGTCGATCACACTAGCAGCGGGAGTAGCTTTATGCAAGGCGTTGACGGTTGGCTTGTCTAACTTTTTCCTGGGAACGACAAGTTCTTTTTTGTTGGTTGCGATAGCAGTTTCATTTGTTGTTGCCTCTGTGTCCCTGCATCGGATTTCCAGATTCTTTATTGAGCAAATTTTCATGGTGATTGGCAACCTGGAGATACTCGAACGGTTTGTAGAGCGAACCTTGCCCGACCAGACTTTGTCAGAGAAACCTCTTGCAATCACAGAGACATTTGCCACTTCAGCAAGCTGGGCTCCTTTGCCTTCATCAGAATTGTCTGGAGAAATGCCGCATTTCCAAGGCTTTGAAAAGACATGGTGGGAAGAGTGGCACTTCATTCGAACAGACTTCCTTGATGAGCAATTCGGGTTGGATGCTTTGCTCACGTCTTGTGGACTGGTCATGTTGGCCACTGGCATACGTTTGATGGTGGGCTTATTTTATTATCCAACAGACACCCAGTATATCCAGATGGTTTTTGCTGCTGATGATGTGCTGACAATGTTAATTTTTGGTGGATGTTTTGTGTATTTGTCGTGGTTGTGCATCAAAGTAAACGACATCTACGTCAGCTTGCTCCGCCGAGTTGATTTTCTGATTGCTCAAGAATGGCGTCAAAAAGGATACCAGAACATTCCTCGTTTGCGAGATGCAAAAGCATCCATCGAAGCGGAAGGTCCACCACACACATTTCTTGGCCGAACATTGAGCTGGCAATTGGTAATTGCCATCATGACACCTCTACTGGCCCCGGTCCTTGCGAAGCTGTGGAATGTGCTGCAAGAAGTCTCACGGAAAGAGACCTTTGGCCATTTGAGCGAAAGTGATCCTTTAAAGGTGGCCAACGAAAAGATCAAAGATTTGCTCCCATTCAATATCACGTTGATTTGAGACCTGCATGCGGAATCGGTGTGCGTGTGTGTCTGTCTGTGTGTGTGCGCACAGAAGTGTGCGCGCTTCTGGCCCATTTTGATGGAGATGGAATTCCAAGAATTCTGTCTGCAGGAAACGATCTCACATTGCTGCACCCTGTTTCACTGGTTCACCGCAAATGTGGTGACATCGTGAAACACATGACTGAATAAGTCCTCCAAGGTATACAAGCAGTTTGGATTGAATGGCACCATGTAACATGCTGGTCTTTTGACTGCAAGTCTTCGAGCGACCTTGACATTCGAACATCATGTCCTTTGCTTTTTCTATTGCTTCTGGAAGGAGTGTTTCGTGACAATGAAAAGCAGATGGTAATTCGCTGATCGTATATGTCTCGGCCCTGTTTCGGCTTAAACTCACTCCTTCAGCGCTCCTAGAAGCATGACACTGCGTTGCAGTCATTGGTTGCGTCGCTTTCCAGCTACGCGTCATGCGACCAGTCAGGTGATCCAGAGCATCATTTGGTCGGCTTCTCAGCGACGACCCGACCGCAGAGAGGGAGTGATTCCGTCGGCTCATCCGATCTGCTTTGGGCAGCGACCGCATGAGTCGAGACTGACCCCCAAAAAGACATATATTCCCAATGAGAAGTCCCTCCCGTTGTGCACTTCTCACAAAAAGCTCTTCCTCTCAGCCTTGTGTGTTTTTCTGCGCGCGTCATTTTGCCGGTCGGGCTTTCACCCTTTGGCTCAGCTATGTTGTTCTGGACCCAAAGGAAATGAGCCGACCAAAACGGGAAACGGAATCGACCGAACGGCCATCGCCGAGATTCGAAGACAGCGATCGCGGCGCGGGGGAAGCACACGGAACCATGTTGGACGGTGAACGAAGCGTTGTTTGACACCGCGCACGTTGAAAACAACGCGCATCGAGTTGAGCGCCATGGCGACCTTGAAGACGCCCTTGACCGAGCTCTTGGGGATTCAATATCCCATCATGCTGGCAGGAGAGATGTTGGGAAGATGTGAGATGAGGTGAGATCTCGATGGAAAAGAGATGAAAAGAGGCTTTCGATTGATCTATATGTCTATGATGTTCAATGTTGAATGGGATATATGTTTGGTAACTCCAGGATAAACGAGTGGTGGACAAGCTGACGGTGAGAGATGCCTAGCGAGGGTGTTTTTTTTGTTAAAGCAATGGTGTGGTCGCATACAGATCCTGGGCATTCCTGGGCTGTAGGAATAGACGGGCGGAGTCTGATTTGTATTGGGTCAAGCATCATAGCTGGCCAGCATATGCCGCTCAGGGCGGGGGGATCACTGTTGACCCGTAATTGACGGTTTTTCTTCCTAATGCTCAAGACTTCTTCTGCGTCGTTTCTTTTTTTGTGATGAAAAGGTGCAGTCTTCCAGTCTTCAAGTTCAAGTTATATAAGTGTCGTGTGACATGTGGCACTTATTGTGCCATATTGTGCCCATGTGGCCAATCATGTGCAGAGTCTGAGGTGTTCGAACCTAGACAGAAAGACATCCTGCTGGGTCTTGAAGCATTCGACATCCTGCACTAGCTATCCAATTGCAAGTCTCTGGCCACAGGCTGTCGGTGTTCCATCAACAGATCCGTCAGGCTATTTGTGCATCGGCCGTGGCTTGCCGTCCTTTTCAGCTCAAGCGGTACCACCCACGCTTGAGCGCAAACGACCCCGGTGCGGCGATCTCACTCGGGCCGAACACTCATGGCCCGGTGGTGCGGATGGACCCTGTGCTTCACCTTCACGGCTTGGGCGTGGCCGGGGACGATGGCCGAGGACGACTGCGTCGAGCTGGGAACCGAGATGAGAATGCTGCAGCTGGGTACCGCTGTGGCAGAGACTGAGCACCTGAGCGAATCGCTTCATGGAAAGGATGCGCAGAGACTGACTGCGGGACGGCATCTACGGAATTGTGGCTTGCTGCGCGAAGCGGGTGGCAGGCTAGGGAGGTTGGCAGAGCAAAAGTGCTCGAGGACTGGTTAGAAGAGATCACGAGATTTGTTGACAGACTTTGGAGTCATTTCCTGCTGAATTATAGTGGTATTGCATCCTATAGCCACCACATGTTCTCAGTCACTCACTATTCTTGCATAGCGTGAATTTATGCCTTGTTCTCAAGATCAGTTCTTGGCATTTGTATTGTAATCTTTGTTCGCTTGTTTGTGAAGCTAGGCCTCAGTCCCCCAACAGCAACCCACAGAAGAGATCAGAAGAGAGTTCCTGTTCCGCGTCAAGTGATAAGAACTCACAGAGTGACAGCCATATGGCAGGTCAAAACCGGACCTTGGTTGACCACCGAACATGTAACAGAATAGACTTACCTGGTTTCGGTCAACCGACCAGTCCAGTGTTGGGACTCCAGGTGCCATGACCCTCAACATTCAGCCGCCATGGCGACCCCGCTGAGGTGGTCACCTGCTGGGCGACGAATGTGATCCAAGCGCCAACTTCTTTTGCAGTGCCTCAACGGCCGACCCCGCCCTCGGTCGGATCGAAGATCAGGGGACCCTGCAAGGAATCACCCCCTGCGAGTGTCGCCGCAGGAGGTGGTGTTGGAGAATGAGTGAGTGAAGCAAGACAATATATTGGATCCTGCGAGGCTTGGACCCACTCACACGAATCATACTCCCTAAGAATAATTATCCCTTCGAAAAACAAGATGTCAAAAACATATAGAGATATATATAGTAAATCCAGCTATTGCGTGTGTCCGACTATGACACCATTGGATTGTCAAACGACATGCATTTATTGTTGAGCCTGGGTGCTGGGAGGTGCCCTGCACCACCAGGCACCTCCCAGCACCACCGGTCAGCTCAGGGAGCGGCCCATGTCCAATCCCCCTCGTTTCATCCCATGTCCAATACCTATTCGATGTCCAATACCTTCCGGGGCAGTTTCTGCTATGATTCTTCTTGCTGTGTTTCGGCTCCACATCGGTGTGAACCCAACAATCCATGACACGGGTCCAATTCCTGCGATCGGCTTGAGGTAACAACTGCCCGGTGCATTCGCACGGCGAGGATTGCTATCGACCAGTGCCCCAGGTCATGGCGGAGCACCCGGGAGAGGAGAGTTGGGCGGATCGGGTGCGTGTTTCACCCCGGAGGCATTGTTCCCAGCTTAAGACCGTTGTTCCCAGCAAGTCCTTCTCAGTGGTGAAGGTTGGAGCCACCAAAAGTCATCAAAAGTTGAAGTCCAAACAAGTGGAACATGTCGATGTCTTTTTTGGTGCGCCCGTAATGTCTCAAAGACCTTGGAGACGAACAAGGACGACCTTGGAGACGGCCCCGAGACGGCCCCAGAGTGGCGGATGCCGTGTATACAATAACTACTTTGCAGTGGCACAGTGGTCACTGAGGCAGAACTTGGCTAGTCCCCAATGCAGGAATATATATACTAATAACATAGACTACGAGCAGGCTAGCCGTTTTTCAGGACCGCGTGACACTTGTCACCCTCAGGATGGTTACTGCTACTTCAACTTCACTGGCTTTTGGGTGAGCCCTTTGAAAGACGAAGATCCGGACTTTGTGGACTACGCCATACAGGGCATCAATGGTCTGAGAGGCCCGGACTACCATGGGCACAACCAGGGCCGGCTGCTGAAGTATCACTTCGAGGGCCAGGCCGCGGGGTGATGAGGAAGCCAACCAACTTGAGGGCGTACTCTTAGATTTCTTAGTCCTTTTGGTTTAGAAGGGATTTTTGACTAAGCCACCGAAGCTTAAGCCCTTAGCAAAGAACCTCAGGCAAGAGTCGAAGGATGCAAGATGTAGGTTTTCCCCAAAAAGGACAGATCCCGGTGCGTCTTGGGGTGCTTGGATGAAAATAGAACGATTTCACTGACCAAATGGGGGGAGATCCTGTTAATCCAATGGATATTGATGGGTAGACTGCGGTAGACTCTTCTATGTTTACTCTTCCACAGGTCAGACGAATGGGGGCTTGGTGAAAATGTCAGCTGTTCAAGGTGTTTTTCTCTTGTCGAACAAAGGGGGTGTCTTTTCACCGTTGAAAACGAGGCGTGTTCACCATGTAGAAGGGTAGAAATCAGGTGGTGACCACTTACATGGACTCAAGCCACTACTCCTTTGATGATCTCTATGGCTACTCCTTGGGATACTTGCAGAACCAGGGCTTGGAGCCCTCTATGATGAAGAACAGCAGTCATTGGATCGAGCTCTCGAAGCAGAAGTGCCTGGAGATCCAAGAAAAATACCACTTTCAAGATGAAACCTGGCCATGAACTTGGTGTGTTCTGTTCCAGTCGTCGTTCCGGTGAACCTCGGTGCAGTCGTTCCGGTGCTTCCGGCCTGGGGGGATTCGCCCCCAGATCCCATGGTGCCGGTCGGTGCAGCTGGGTATGGTCAAGAGGTGTGAGTTGGACTGAGTCCTGTGATGGCGAAGTAAGAGTCAGCACACCCAGCGCTGAACATACTTCGTTGGATCTCATAGGTGCTTCACGGTGATGGAAAACCACCCACAAGGATGAGCAGACGCAAGCCAGTTGTGTTTTCATGTGTGGATGAGCATCGGTTCAAACCGTTGAAAGTTGTTGCCTCCCCCTGTCTTGCGTTTGCTGTTTGGTAGCATCTCTACGTTGTCAAAAATGGAGTCAAGATATCGGTCAACATGCTTCAACAGAGCTTAACTGCCAAATCTCTCATGCAGCTTCGATGTTGGCCCTTTTCCATACCCATCGCGTGACTGTGTGCCGATGACGATGGCTACAGATGGCTTTTGGCACGTGATGACTGCGTTCCTGCTACAGCTGGCCTGTGGTGATGGGCCACTGACTTCAGGCGAAGGCGTGTGTAACCCATTTTCAGGGTTCAGATACTTGAAGCTCGCCGACGGAGGCCGCCGCGGCGGGCGATGGTTTTGCGGATGTGCACGAAGTGGAGCTTTACGCGGCCGATGGTGCCCAAATCTTCCCAAATGCCAGTTCACCAGCACTGGCCAAACTGGCACTCAAGGAGGACCAGTTGAGGGAGCGGTAGATAATGACACCAGCACATTTGGGGCTGGAGATTATGATGTCGAAGTGGGTTGCGATTGTTTTAAAGATTCCAGTATAGACGGTCAGGCTCTAGTACTTGACATGCGGTCCATCACTTCCGTGATGCGGCTTCGATTACATCAAGGCTACAATGCTTGGTCTGTGGCAAAGATCCGGATCAGAGGGAGATAGGATAGGTGCAGACTTTACAATCCACCAACCACTATCACTGGAAATTCCAGAGGATGTTGCAGATATCGAATGCACAAGCAGGGGCTGCTCTGTCATAGATTCAATGACTCCTAAGTTGCAGTGTGAACATGCAAGCAGCACTGCAAGCGTTACTGTGCGCGACACTACAAGCGTGTCAACCTGGCGAGTTCGGTGGAGTTTGTGGCTTCCGGCTTACCTGGTCCACCTGGTCCTGCGTTGACAGACCGGCCAGTTCTTCACTTCTTTACTGATTCACTTTTCAATTAGGTGGAGTGGAGCAGTGCCAACGGATGCTGTGGTCAATGCTGTTTGCCTGTTTCATGTGTCACATCGACTTAAAGGTGCCCGTGATTGTTTGACATACAGAGCACAAACTTGGATTGAACAGACGGGTCTCAACAGTCCAGAAAAGCCGTGGTGAAAGCCAAACGTTCGCCTAGACCTGTCGAAAGTCCGCCAAGAACCTGAACGAACACTGCTATCATCTAATATCGCGGTACTGCCTAGGTTTTGGTGGACGTTTGCAAGATGAGAGCGTCCGCCTGGCGATCCGTACCTTGTGGATCATAGTCATAGCCTTTGCCCTGAAGGAACATCCCCACACTTCGGTTCATTTTGGAATACAGCCATATATATATACATACAAACTCCCCAGGGGTATATTATATATATCCTGATCAAAATTGGTCCGATTCAAGTGTTGGGGATGCTTGCCACAGCTTTAAGTTGAAAAACTCTTGCTGAAGATGCCCGCAACGGATATCTTTCGTGATGACGGAGTGCCACCCCTAATTCAACCTGGTACGGAGTCATTTTGCTTCGAGGAAGAGTTGGTCTTAGCCGACTGGTTGGACGACAATCAGGCCCTGGCCACGAAGGTCTTTTGTGCGGCCAATCTTTCGATGGAATTGACGTTGCCGTCGATCAAAGCAAGGGCCAATTACAAGAGCATGCAGGAGGGGGCTGGAGATTTTGTGAGATGTTTATAGATTTCAGTGGTGCACCATCCTTTCTTCGGCATGTTCGTGCGACTTGGTCACTGGGTTACTCCAAAGAAAGGATGTCAATTTGGCCACGACTTTCATGGTGGTTTGGACAAATGTGACTTCTTCAAAATGACCAAAACCCAGACACGACCGATGAGACGACCGCAGATACTTACCAATACTGGTACGGGCGGTGGATCTCAACGGGGTTCATGGTATGGCCTATACTCCAGTCGCACTAGTCGTGTTTGGGACACTGGCCATGGGTCTTTTCACATAGAGCCCTTGGTCCGTCTCCGGGGGGCCATGACAGCCATTGGGGGTGTATTCAAACGGGGTCGGTTTGACCTCCCAAAGGGCAATAGACCCAAAACCCATTGGTTGGGAGGTCTCCTTCTTTTAATACAAATTCCTTCTTTGGACACAACCAATGGGTTGTGTATTAAAAAGCACAAGTTCCTTGGTTGGGAATCATACACCACCAATTCTCTCTTTGGTTGGGAAACCGGAGGTTTTTCTGGACACCAATTCCTTCCTTCTTCGCTCTTCGCTCTTCTTCGCTCCGCTTCTCCAGGACTGCGAGCCCATCACGGCCCGAGACTTTGCCAAGCATCACTACATCAAGTGCCTCCTGGGCGACCTGGTGGTGAGTTGTGTTGTTTTGAGACTTGAGTTGTTGTGGCCCACTCGGTTTGGTGGATGTGTTTGTTTATGATGTGGTTTCCAGGTTCCAAGTGTTGGGAGTGTTGAGCGGTTTCGAAAGCGCACCGAGAAATACGTATGGTAGAAGGAAACAAACAGCAGTAAAGCCATACTCGGCTGGTGGCATGCAGAGAATTCGATGTGTTGGATATCCAAGGATATCCGAACTCAGCCTCAGATGGGGCATACTTGAACGTCCGCGCATGTCTCCTGGAAGGGAACCACATTGGCCACTTCTCAGATTGTCCATACTCGCCGGACATGAGCTTCTGAGCCCATCAGCGACATGAGTTCAACGCTGGGAATGCTGTTCCTGCGGCTGTCACAGTGTCCATACTCGCCTGGATTGGTGCAGAACGTAACGAAGCACTTCTCCACGGTTTCCACAGCTTTCCTAAAAAGAGTGCGTGGGTTGCGTCGGCCGGTGAGTCCTAACTGGGTCATGCCAGCATGCAGCAGGCGCATGCTTTGCGTCGGAAGCAACAGCAACCGAGCCCGTTGACTGTTGATTCACAGAGCCCCCGTACCTGGATGGCACATCTGCCGGCTTACGGGGGGTGTTTATCACCAGTCACTTGGCATTGTTTTGGCATGGGTTCTTTTGAACAGGCAAAACACCAAGGGAGGAATGGGCCTCCAGCGTCCCGACTTACCACCGTGGTGGGGATTGTTGAGGAATGAAGTCGAAGGACACGCACAATGGCAAAGGACATGCACGTGGCTTGCGCCTTTGCAAACACACATCGCAACTGCAGCCCGGTCATGGGACTCAGACCGTGCCACCCCGACGTCGCAGGAATGGGCAGCGTCTCGGGGCATGAGCTCGTGGCAGCCGCTGGTTCTGCGATGAATGGATTGGGCATCGGTTTACATCCGTGATATACCAGGAGCCACAAGGGTCGGGTTAGTTCATGGAGACCCCTTAACCTCTATGGGCGCAGGTGCCTATGTATATATATATACAGTATTTTTACATTGTATATATATAGAGAGAGAGAGATAATGTAGATGTGTTGATTCATATCATTCCATTTGCGTCATTTTCCTTGTTGGATATGTAAACCATCGCCATACTGGATGGGTAACCCTACAGTTTTCTCCTCTACGGCGTTGGATGTGTTGGGGCGATGTCTCCCAGACCATGCATGGGTGTCTTAAATAGTTATTTACATGGCTGGGTACTGATGAATGAGATGGGATGAATGAGATGGAAACTCTTCTAGTCCGATGGATCCGATCGATGGTTCGGTTTGGTTTCGATCTTGGCTTAGGCAAGGCCTTGTGGAGCTGGACATGTTGACAATGGCGAGAAACGGGTTGGTCAAACCTGTCGATATCTCACCAAAGGCCGCAGTGAGGAGCGACAACTCCTGTGTATATATATAGTACAATACACATCATATAATGCTGCCCAGAACACATGATTGGACCCTCAATTCAATTTCCAATTGGACACGGAGATGGCAGCGGTCTGCGCACCTCCATCAGACGCCTGATCGCAGCATCCCGGAGACCCGAGGCGGTGAGCAACGCCGGGGGCATCGGTACCTTGGGTGGAGTGACCTTCGAGGTGCAAGGCTTCCGGAAGGAGATCCAGGAGACGGGAGCGCGACGCGGAAGAGAGAGAGGGGGGAGAAGGGCGCGCTTGAAGCGGTCTACGGGGGGCGGGAGAAGGTGGGAGAAGGGGGGTGGGAGAAGGGTGGGGAAGGGTGTGTTTTTTTTTGCGGTGATGTTTTTGCTGAGTCTACGCCAGTAGAGAGATGTCCGAAAGGAACATTCGAAGATGGTAAACAAACATCATTCGCTAGGGGCTTGTGGGGGAGGATGTTCTGGAGGATACAGAAACTACTGAAGAAGAGAACTGATTGGGACTCGCAATTACCCTTATAGATACCACATGTATCATATCCTATCATCATGCGCCTAGAAAGCTGAGGTGATGATTGACTCAACGCCTGTTTGTTTTACATGCTGCTCTAGGGTGGGGGTAGATGATTGAGGACAGGTTCTGTGGCCAACCATTGAATGAATTTTCATATATTCATATATAGGGAGGGCACACAGGTGCACGGGAGGCCACACAGGTGCCGTGCTCAGAGGTATCATGCTGGTCCCTCCCTTGGCCCTTGGTATCTCTGGGAGGAGAGCTTCTTTTGGGAGCAAGGACGCTACTAGGGGCTCCTGGCCTTACTACTAGGAACAAGAAGCTACTAGGGGCTCCTGCCATCGCTACTAAGAGCAGGGAATTACTGGGGGCTCCTGGCATCGCTACTAGGGTCGGTGTCGGAGTCAGCCCCGACAAGCCTCCAGGCCGGAGAAAGGGGTTTGAAAGAGCGGACAGTTCCGGAAATTCTGAGCGGACAGCACGAAGAATGAAGAAAAAGGTCGGTTATCCCGGTTGCACCGTGCTGTGGCATACTTCATTGGGAGACACGTATAAAGGTTATCCCATAAAGCTTGTCCCCTGTGCAGAAGTGATTCTCCATTGCACTCTTTAATGGTCCATAGATGGGAAGTCGATGGTTGTTTCTTGTAGCCAATGCAAAACACATCCGATGTCCAAGATACCACTTAAGGTAGTCGCATGTAGTCGCACACCACACACGGATGGTCCCGGTTCAAACCACCCACCCACCCACCTGGCCGACCCTCCCAACCTCTTCGCCACGCCGTCCACGGTGGGGCTGGGTCCCAGGAAGTGAAGCGCCGCTTGAACCCGGGGAGACCCTTCGGTGTGGACTTGTTGATCCCCAAGCTGGGCGGCACCGCGCGGGCCACCAACAAGGCGACCGACCGGACCTCGCGACCTCGCGACGGGTCTAGTTGAAGCCTTTTCACCGGGGTGGAGGCCGGTGTTTCTGGCGTGGGGAAGCCTTTCTTCTCGGGGTGGGTTTTGGGCTGAAGTCATGCAATTTCTCAGGGTATAGTTCCAGGTGGTTCCTGTGATTCTCACTTGTCAGCCCCCCCCCAACGGTTGGTGGTACTATGACCTTGGTGGACTTGATGCTGGAACAGATCGCACTCCAGTAGCTGCGGTTTGCAGGCGACCCTTGATTGCTTCATCGCTTGACATGGTCTTGTTGGAGAGTGTTTCCCATTTCAGAGATGTCCCTCAGAATCATCAAAGCGACAGGCAAAATGTGGAAGGAGCATGACCAAACTCTGGGAACAACCTGCTACAGTACATCCACATGAGAAAAAAAACAATGAACAAAAACCCTTGTTTGGATGGTCGCTTTTCACGGCAAAGTGGTGTCTTGGATTCGGGATGTTTGGTCCAAGGATGGCCTGCGGGGGGTTCTCGGCAGTCCAGGACTACACCCACGGCGCTTTGCCAGAGATGGTCGACATCATGATCCAGGAAGGCCTGGCCACGGGGCTTCTGGTCCGCCATGCACCGAATTTTCCGTATGCAGAAGCGAAAGCCACATGAACCAGTCCGAACCAGCCACAAGGACAGGCTCAGAACATCTTTCACCAGGATTGGGGCCTCCATCAGCGTTTGGTAACCTCACCTGTTTCACGTCACCTCCTTCCTCAAGGGATGATTGCTACCGACGAGAGAGTTCTTCCTCGGCTCAAGCCTATGCGCAGTTTCGTCGAGTGCCTCGACGTGAACGACGCGCGGCTGTTGCTTGATAGATCCATGTTCCATCTCTATGCTGGGCCATGAACGGGTGCTTTGCATCCTGGTGACTTTGGCCGCCCTGGATACAGCTGAACGCCCTCGGCTGAAGCAGCACGTCATCGAAGCCGATGTGTTTGGGCGGCAGTTTACTGGTGGGTGGGAAGTCCTGATGGTGCGAGGCCAAGCTTGCACAACCCATGGACCACTGCCCAGGCATTTGCGTCAATAATTGCTTGGAAGAGTTCACAAGAATTGCTTTGAAACCGAGAAAAGAAAAGGTCGACCAAACAAACACTATAAGAAGAAACAAACACCTTGGGTACATGAAACCTCACTTGTGAGCACCTGTCCACTTTTTGAAACCACTGGAGAACTGCTTTGTTTGTTACTATTGCACAGCCCTGGGAACTAGAGCACAGAATTGTCAACACTTGTATGCATTTAACATATGTTAAAGCCAGAAATCTGGGAAGAACTCTTGAAGCCAAACATAGGGCACAAGGGATCTCTTTGTCCAAGCTTTTGGGATATCCCAGCGGTGATCCCTTATAGCAGCCTATAGCCACCCGTGTGATTCGGATCGGATGGGTGAAGGTCGGGGGTGCTGCTCCACCCATCCGATCCGAAGGTCACAGGTTGTGGAAGAAGAACCTCATGCTGCCCTTGGCCTGCCTTGTGTGGTGGAACACCACAGCTGGGACCTGCTCCGGGCCCCACACATTCACTGAAGCTTCTGGCTGGGGTTCCACTTGTTTCGCCGGAGGAGAGTGAGGATGAGAGCACTTCTGTGGGCTCCCTTTTGGAAGGACCGGAGCTCAGCCGGAAGCACAAGCATCTTACAGGAGCAGTCTTAAGACTTGAGTGTTTGGATGTTCAATTTTCTGAACCTTAGAGATGCCAATGGGCATCCAGAAAGTCCAATGGATCGGTATTTGATTATTATATATAGTGTCCCTAGCGTTCAAAGACAGAAGGCTTGACCTGGTTTTGTAGTCTAGAATCCTTAGCAAAGCACTTGCAGGTCCACGCCATCTCTCGCTCCAGAGGTGGTGGACAGAATATGACATAGGCATACATAGGCACTATACAACCAGAGGGGCAAGCTACATGCGATGTACAGGGTGTCAGACAAAAGAAATCTTCATTTGGCACAATGATTCGATGTCCCAAGCACTTAGCCTTTCAATGACTTAAAATAAAAAACACAAAACACATATCCAGACCCGGTGACCCCGGCCTTCAACGTTTGCTTTCGATGTGTCCATTCACATGTCCCTTGCGTCCATAGACGCATTGGCCGCCTTTTTCCCATTTGTGTGCCAGGCTTTGAGGTGGAAGGAGGATGCTGCTGGAACTGAACAGGTGGATGTGGGGCTGGTGTTTGTCACCTGGAACCCTGGTCCACCATGTAGCTCGACCTTCCAGATAGGTCAACCAAGGATCCTGGTTTTGACCCACAGCCATGTAGATTTGGTCCAACAGTCGAGCAAATGCAATGAGCAGTCCTAGTTTGGCTGTGGCCTGGCGGTGGCTCCCTTGTACAATGACAATTCCACGGAGTCCCACAGATAGCATCTGAAAAAGCGCCATCAGCTTCCACTCCCCACACCGGTGTAGACCACCATCGAAGCCGCTCCCACCGGCGGTTCCGCCGGCCGCGGTTCCGCCCCTCGGCGACGAAGCCGCTCCCCCGAGGCCCACAGGACGCCGCCGTGCGCCGCGCCTTGAGGAGCCTGGGCTTCACCGAGTGGAAGCTGCGAAGTTTGTTGAAAAGCGCCTCGGTGTCACCCGTCCAGCGCCGACCCGAAACCGGTCCGGACACGTCACTGCCCGGACCTGGTCCTGTCATCAAATCCTGGTTGCGCCGTTTTTTTGGAGTTGAAATCCTGGTCGCCGGAAGGGTCCAGTAGGTGAACGCGCAGCACACTGCCAGCAGCAGCCGCAACCATAGCCGCAGCAACCACTGTGTGTAGGAGCGCACAGCAGTCGTCAAGAATCCTTAGCGGTGGTCGGTGAGGCGTTTCTGCGCCTCAGTCGCTCTGATCAAAGCCATTTGCCTGATCAGAGCCGGGTTCAGGTGTCCATGCACAGACCAACCCAGCCTTGGGGCAACCTGACACAGCACTGCAGTTTGGGGGATGTTCCGATGAACCGCAAGTCAGAGCATTCCCATAGCACGTGGTGCAAACAAGGAATGACTTCCCAGGCACAAAAGGACAAGTTTGCACCGGGCGAAGCTTCTTTTTGAGGCGTTGAAAATCAATGGCAGGGGTCATCATACCCCGGAAATGATAACACATTCATGGGCCGTCGCCTGTTGGGCAAACTTGTGGAGAGCCTCCACTGTAGGGCTGGGAACGTGCGTCCAGCCCTGCCCTCGAGCAAGTTGAGCATCACGTTTGTTGGTTTTCAACCAGTTGTTGGCTTGTTGACACCGCCAGGCCGCTCGGATTTCGGGGAGATGAACCTCCAAAGTTTGCGGGTTCTTACCTTAAAGGCAAGACACGTCAGTGGCATCACAGAAAAGACCGCGGTGATTCACACCCCATCCCAGCGGACCCTGTCTGTGTCAAGTGTCGTCGGGGTGGTCGGGATCTTTTGGAATAATTGGGTGTTCCCCCGTTAAGAAAGACTACCCGACTACCCAATGCGTGGCACGTTCATGTGCATCATGTGCATAAAAATATCAGGTGGTTGGTGGATTCCAGGATCTTCCAGGAGATCTAGGTCGAACAGTTTTATACCTGGGACCTGGATGACCGGTATTTTGGACCACCAACCACCCAAAATATGGTCTTTTCCTATCAGTCAAACGGGTTCCAGGTATATGATGTTTGCCACAACGACCCTTCTTTGGTCTTGTCAGATTGACTGGTGCTTCGCAGGCAACGCAGCAACCCCGTGAGAGGTCCAAAGCAGTTCCGGGAAGGTCATGTTCATTCATGTTCCACATCCTGATCCATGTCCGAAGCAGTACTGTGTTGTTTGGGGGGCCAATTTCACCTAACATCACCTAACGTCACTTAGATCAGGGCTGCCACTCTCTCGCACCTGCGCGCTTAGCCCGTCAGGTAAGACGTGGATGGAAACTGGGGCTCGAGGCACGGCCCGAACGGCCCGGCATGGGGTTCGCCCCCCTGCGCCGTTGAGACAGTGCGGTGGGTTGGTGTGGTGGGTCTCCCAAGCCCCGCACCGAGTGAAGGGTGAGTGAAGGGTTTGGCATTGGAGGGTGTCTTTGATCCTGCCGAACACCACCCGAACTCCGTCCATCTGGTGTACTGACACCTCGATCCCGACGTGGTCAGTCCACGTCCCCTGATGTTCCTTTCTTGTGCTACGAAATCCAGGCGGTCAGGTGGTCGTCTCTTCCATTTGGGGCCCACAGTGAGGAGTTGCTGTTCTTGGCTTTCAGGTTGAGCTGCCAATGAGAATGCTTCCAAAATCGAAACGGCCCATGTTTTCGGAATCGTTCATATTCTGTCTAGGACAGTTGTAAAACCATGTAAACATTGTAAAACCATCAAGAACAAAGGCACCTCCTTCTGCTCAGAAGGGATCCCCACTACAAATGCGTTGGCCACACGCATTGCAGACAGCTCTCCAGTCCCATGGAGTGTAAAGATGCCAGTCCCATGGAGTCTGGGCATAACGTCCGTTTTCCATAAACCATTGCGCATAATCTGAGGCTTCAGGAGATCCACCGGTGGGAGCGCAGCTCGCTCGCTCCGCAGGTGTCCACTGGTCTGAGGAGGACCGCTGCGCCGTGACCGAGATCAACTTTCCTCATGAGGGCCACCAGGAGGACCGACAAACCCGTGACACGCTAGACACGCGGCAACGCGCCGTGACGCAGAAAGAGGGGATGACCCTGAAAGCCAAGTCTCCAGAAACGAGTCCTAGACCAAGAGGCTGTTGGCTTTGGCGTGATTCAGATCAACTCTTCAGTGCAGTAGAAGTATCTTTTTAAGTCCACGTAGAGCTCACGTGATCTCACGTGTTTGCTTGTTTTCTTTCGAGGAATACGGACGCTTAATAAGCTTAAGTCTAAAGTTGCCTAAGCATGGACATCGTTTGTCCATGAAGATCGCAATCAAGCCGACTTCTGCCGGCTGCCGTGACCATGCCAACTCAGTTTTCTGCAGGGCAGCACATGCCAACTCCGTTTCCCAAGCGGATGACGGACGGCAAAGGTTCGTCACCGCGTGATAGTAAACCACTGATATGATCGCGGGAGGCAACCTCCAGGCATCGGCTTTCTCCCGAAGCCTCCAAACAAGGCAGACTCAAGCAAAACCAGCATCAAATTGGGTAATTAGTAATAATGGTAGTAATGTATCTCCATGTTAACTACATGATACCTGTTAACTGCGTGTGAACCCACGTGTCCAACACCGCGTTCAAACAAAAAAGCGCGGGTTCCTTGGCGCGCGCTCCTCAAGGACCTGCGCGGACCGTTGAGCTTCCGAGAGCTGCCGGAGCTGCAGCGCTTGGATCTGCGGAACACCCACATCACCGGAGACCTCAGCGAGTTGCCCTGCAAGTTGAGACTTCCCAGAACTTCCGAACGACTCCTTGGACCCTGGAAGTCATCATCCACTAGATCACTTAGAGGTATACTGTATAATATAGATCTAGAGGTAAAGTGAGTCATGACTGGACTCTCAGGGTTCTAGGAGTTCTTTTGTTTGTTTGTGTGTTTGTGTGTTTGTTTGCTTGCTTGCTTGTTTGCTTGTTTGTTTGTTTGTGTGGAACGGTTTTTTTTTTTATGTGTTAAATATGTTATAAATATGTGTAACATCGGATTTCGCACGGGAGGAGAAGGAAGGACATGGAGCTGGAAGAAGGCTAGTCTTATATGAGTTGCTTTATTGTGATCAGGTCTATATGGAGAGGGGGGCAACAGGAACTGCACCTGAGAGAAGAGCTGCACAACTTAGTAGGCTTTTATCAGTACTTGACTTGAACTTGAAGGTTGTATATTGTATACCCTTGTATAAATCTCAGAGAAAAAAAGGGATGATGGGCAAGCTTGGAACGGCCAATATGGCCAGGGCTAAGCAGCTGTCGAACTGCAAATCTTCAGTCTGGTGATCGTTTCGACGTGTCTCCAACCTTCCTGAGAATCTGAGGAAGCACCTCTACTTGCAGAACACGGAGGTGACGGGTAACCTCAGCAGCTTAGGCAACATGACGCGCATGAAGCGCTTGGATCTCTCCCACACCACCATCTCCGGAGACTTAGAGCACCTGCGGCCACTTCGCCAGCTACGGACGCTGCGGCTCTCAGACACCTTGGTCACCGGGGATTTGCAAAGCCTGCAGGCGTCGCAGCTACAGGTTTTGGCGTTGGAGGACGGCGGTGGCGGTGGGGGTGGGGGTCGGGGGGGGTGCATGGATAGTGCTATGGTCATTGTATGTGACCCGGTGGTGACGGGAAGAAGTATAGTCTTTTGACGTCTTTTGGGAGTTTGATGTGCTGTGCTAGGCCGACCTTGTCACTCCATTGTTTCAGGATGTTTCAGATGGTTAGCTGGAGCGTTCTAGACCCAAGGACCAGTGATAGCTGGACCATTGACATCCATTTACCTTCCAGCAGTTCTGGAAGAGTTGTGGATGTCTGGATGGGGGGGGGTATCTTCACAGACTGGGAAGGTGCTATGTTCAGCGGTTTTAGAGTAAACGGCACAAACATGCACAAACAAACCCATAGGCCACTCTTCCGTGAGTTGTTTCTTAACCTTTTGGGGTTGTGGCATTGACTCTGAAAAGAACCGTGCGACAACCAAAAAATCCTACACGACGAAAGAGTCCCGACACGACGGTGGCTGGAACCCTGCCCGGTTGTTGGAGTGAGCCCAGTCGTTTGGCCAAGAAATGCGTCGCCATGGGCAGGACACCCGGTCTATGGTGATTTAGTGGCCCTGCAGAGTGCTACTGAGCTCTCAGATCTCTACTTGCCCAACACCAAGGCGCGGAGGGATTTTCTTGGTGTTGGAATGGATGAAAAGGATTGAACTGGTTCTTTGACTGCCAGATGAGACCCAGCTGAGACAGCGGTTATGGGTCCGACCAGGGGTTTTCAATCATCTCTCCTTCGGCTTTTCAAGGGCAGTTGAGAGGTGACCAGATCTATAGAATCCTATCGAAGGGATTGAGACCATCACCCGGATTCTTGAAGCCCTTCGTCCGTTTTTCGAGCAACCGACCCAGAAAGAGAGAGAAGAACGTTTGGGGAGAGAGGACGTGTAACTGATTCTTTCTTCCGGGAGGGGTAACGACCACCTTTTCCACCTGCAGCTCTGGACCACCTCTCTCTCTTCGGCCTGGTGGCTTCACCCGGTGACCTACTGAACGGCGCAGGTGTCAGGAGATTTGATGGCACTCCAGAACGCCCTCTTTTTGCAGGAGCTGACGACTCGCGAGTCCGCGAGTCCGACGACGGCGAGTCAGCTAAGATCATCTTCGTGGTTCCAAGATGATCTTGGGAATCGTGGTGAGGATCTTGGGGAATGTTGGGATGGTTTTCGCTTGAGGCATTGGGATGTGCGGTTTTGCAGGACCTTTCGCTCACCAACACCACAGTCTCTGGACAGTTGCACGCATTGGAGAATGCTACGGAGTTACACAACGTCTACCTTGATGACTCCAGGACACGGAAAGGGCTGAATAATGCTGAAAAAACTATTCGGTAAGTTTTATGGCAGACTGTTCTGCGAACAGTCTGCCATGTTTTGTCAACTGCCAGGATCTGCCAGGTGTTAGATGTTATCAGAGATGTCCCGCTCCTCCTTCTCCTCATCCTCCGCGTCCTCCTCAACCGAGTGCTAGATCACAGTGGGCACCGCCGGACCTCAACCGCGAGCACCTCGAGCGCTCGATCGCAGTGGGCACCGGACCTTAATCGCAGGGCTAGATCGCTGTGGGCACTGCCTGGCCTGAACCACGAGCGCCAGATTGCAGTGGGGAGCACCGGACCTGAACCAGATAGAAAGAACGCCCGAAAGAACGTCAGCAACTGCCAGCTTGCCAGAAGAAATGTCGAGAATGGTCAAAATGTGCAACCTGGAGTACCATATTACATGCCAGATAGAATGCCAGAAAGAATGTCTGAAAATATGCCGCCCGCCAGGTAGATAGAGTCCAGAATATATGCTAGATAGAATGTCAGCAAATGTGCAAGATAGATTGCCTTAATATGTGCCAGTCTATTCTATATGTAGGTAAGATAGACACTTTCCTGGTGAAGCTGAAGCAATATAGCCCTTGGTTATCAGCAGAGTACAATGCCATGGTGGAGATCACTCGAAGTAAAATAGTTTTGGTCAGATGATTCTTAGGTTTTTGCTTTTGGCAAATATGGCATGGATCGTATATGCTAGTATTACATTTTCTCGGCAACTAATTCTTATTCAGTGGTCTGTTGCATCTCGACAGAAGGCCTTTGTCGAGCAAAATGCAGCAGTCATTCATTTGTTTGCAGGCAGTCCCAGTGGGGAGGATGCATTGGCAGGAGCAGTCCTGGTTTTTGTTGGCGTGCCTTAGTGCCATTCATTGGTTAAATGTTCCAAAACACTTCCAAACAGATCAGCCAAAAACATTTTGGCAGTCACTATATGGGCAGGACACCCTTATGAGTGCTGATTGCCGGAAAGGCAAGTGTTTCATCCACATTTTGGAGTCTAGGCCCCCTGTTGAATATCATCACCAGGGACTTAGATGTTAGATTTAGATGGCACCCAAAACCCACAGGACAGCTCAATTTCTTTGAGGCGGACCCATACTGAAATACCTCGTTCTGGTGTTTTGCTTCCCCATTCCATCCCAGTCCGAAAATCATGATCCTGAGCAATCCGCCCCAGCAGGATTTCAGGGGACTTGGCGGCCTTGAAGCAGGCGATGGACTTGGAGGTGTTGTCCGCGGAGAACACCGACATTTCTGGGGACTTGCAAGTGTTGAACATGCAACACGGCAAAAATGTGAGGGCATGTGGAGGACATCAAGGAGGTCAATGGATGTGGGGATATGGCACCCTGGTGGGGAAAGGCTCAGGTGAGGTCGATGGTTGATGGTTTGGTTCGTTAAACCTGTTTTGGATGTGTTTTTCGTTCTGAAGACTGGGCTCGGGATCCGGAAACACCTTAAAGATCTTAAAGGGGTGGGTGGGTGGATGCGCATGAAAGTATACTTAGAACCATTCAAGCTAGTTGAGCAGTATCCAGGATATGAATTGATGAACAGAGGGGCTTTCAGTGGCCGTGGTTAAAGCTAGGGTGCAGTTCTTTCGGTTTCTTCGGGCTCCAGGTTGGACCTGGTGAGGGCTCATCCTGTTTGGACCTGACATGGACCTGCACGCACTGACCAGGTACCAAGCCTTGGTTGTCAGGAAGCCCCGAGGTTTGACGTTCCTGTTTTTTTTCAGACAGTGCAGCTGCATAAGAAGTACCGATAGTCTACAGGTTTGCTACCCAACGAGTATGTTTGGTTTGACCAACGTCATGCAGATTGAATCCTCCATCGTCCAAACTAGTATTCTATAGTGTGGAATGATAGCCTGGCATATGTGAAAAAGCATACCGCCAATCCCTTCATTTTGACCGCAAAACCGGCCTGACCTTCAGCTTCCATGAGTCGTCCCCCGGACAGCCTTCCTGGGCCTTCCTGGGATCAGGAAGCATTTGAACCTGCTCCATTTGCCCAACACCAGCGTGGTGGGGCACCTGGGCTCCTTGCGTACGGCCATTTGGCTACGAGACCTGGCGGCCAGACAGCGGGTGGAGAGGTTTGGATGGCCCCAAACAAGAAAAAGGAGCCTTGAAGATGTATTGCAGACGCGAATTTGGGGACACAGTGCACCAAGATTTACACATTATTCTTGAGGTAGACTTGTTTCTACAGACTCAGAGGTCCTTGTCGCATCTTGTCGTTCGAAAGTTCTCCAACAAACAGAACTTGACTGGTTACCACGGTTTCAGCGCAGGTTCCTTCCTTTCAGCAATATTTGGGATTTGTGGCCTCAGGAAGCGTGCATCTCTCGCGGACTGCTGTGCGAGGGAACTTAAACACTTTGGAGCCTAGAGGATGCAATGCCGATGGTGGCATGGGCCTTTGCCATGTGGAGAGCTTGTTCTTGGCCGAGACCAAGGTCACAGGCGTGTTTTGGGGGAGTGTTTAGTGACCACGGCACGGTCACTGGGAAAAACGATAGAGGTGTTTGGAAGTGTCCTTTTTGAAACGAGGCACCAAGTAAAGGGACTCTTTGGAGACACCCAGAGGCGAGTCTCAAAACTAGCTTTCCACCACTGATTGCATCGTTCAGATATATACTTCAATCTTGTTCGTGGACCATGTCGAGGTGGAAAGCACTCACACAATCTTGATGGCCTGGTTTGGCCCAAGCGTTCTGGCCCGGCCATTCAGTGTTGCTTTTTGCCGAAGGTAGCATCCGCACGCTCATCAAGATGAAGCTTGGTCGGTAAGGGGTGTTAGCGACCGCATATCCTCCGCCAACCCGAGATCGAAGGCATATCCAAGTCATGGTGAATCCCTTCGTTCTGGCACCCAGTTTGTGTTTGTAGGTTTCCTGCGACCTCCCACGCGTCCCAAGCGACCCTCAGTATGGAATCCAGGGACAATGGAATCCAGAGACAGGTCTCTCATCCCAAACCACCAACCCTGTCCATTCATTTTCCTGTTCATCTCATTCATCTATCATCATCTATCCAATATCGACAAAGCTCTTATCGCTTCTCCAGTTTACACCATTCCTATGAACACCTGCGCAACACCGCCTTGTTCTTTCACCTTGTTGATCCTTGTTGCCAGCTTCAATCTGCAGATCTTCCAACTTCATCGTTCCTCCAGACTGCCCGGCGTGAGACGCTTCCAAGGAACGATCTGGAGCAGGTGGACCTCTCCCGCAGCGCGGTGCGTGGGAAGCTCACGGCCGCCTGGCGCGGCTGCTGCCAGAGGCTTCGGAGCTTGAAGCTTTCGGTGCCTTGGAGTGATCGAAGCGGAAGCCCGGAGGGGGTCTGGGGCAGAAGAGAGGGGTTTGGGGGGTCTGGGGGCCTGTGATATGAGATACTGAGTTTGAGAGGTCCAGGTGGACGATGCAACTTCAAGTTGAGGAAGAAAAGAACGATGCAACTAGCTTTGTGATAGGTTGTTGCCTGCAAAGTTTCTTATGATCACGTGTGCTTAATCTTGGGTTGCCTTTGATGGGTGGTGGCCTCGGGTGAGGGATGGTGGGGGAATTGAGCCAGATCATGCGAGTGGAAACTCTGAACTCAGAGGAACCACCACAGAAAGTCCAGAAAAGAGATGACAAATCAGATAGTGTAAGAAACTACTCAAACTATATATATCTTGAAAAATATGACGATGGCCTCCACCCTAATGGGCTATGGCCTCGACCCTAATAGTGATGGTGTCCACCCTATATGAATAACATGTTATATCCATGTAATACGGTTCTGTTCCCCTTCTTCACTTCCCTTATAACGAGACATCCCAGGATAGCTCTGTGCGCTTGCTGCCGCCGCCGGGGCCCGATCGGGACGCGTTGCGCGAGATTTGGAGCGAAGGAGGTCATCGGTTCCTGCCCGATCTCAGCATCTTAGAGGCTCGACCGTGTTGAGAACGACGCTTCGTCCGTTTTTTTGTGACCGGACTTGGGGGGACAGAGGAAACGCCGCGAAGGCACCGCTGCACGAATCGTAGACCACCTCCTCTTCATTGAGAAACTGTGCTGAGATTGGATTGGACGACATCATTACGCCACCAGTTGGATGGCTCAAACATGTCCATGTACAGGGACCTAAGATTGAACATGCTTGGAGTCATGCTTGCTCTTGCCAGGCGGCAGGCCGGCATGGGGGTGACCTGTTTCTTCCATCGTGGCATAAAATCCGCAGAAAACCGACACGCAGGATATGCCATTAACGTACGATTCCTCTTCATTTGGGCGATGTTTTCAGGTTCGGAGCCGAAGCTCCACACGCTTGGACCGCCTCAAACAGGCGAACGAACATTCTCCGTCCACCGAACTCTGAGAGGTGAGTGGATGTCCACTGAATGCCTCCGTGGAGGAGTTCCTGGCGCCCTTCTTGGGTTGCAGCGCTTTGGCCAGTTTGAAGGCAGCCCACTGCGGCTTGCGTGGCGCTGTGCCGGACCTGCACCACATCAAGTGGGTGTCTGGCTCAAAGCTGGGGGCGGTGCGCGGATAGGGACTGTCTCGGACTTTTGGTCACCTTCCCACCCGACAGGATTGGGTGGCTCGATTTTGGGCCAGACAGCCCACCCGGCCATGACCCGTGACCTTTGCTGCTACGCGTCACCCAGTGCAATGACAAAGCGTGACAACTTGACACCACGCCAGGACAAACATGACGTGCAGACAAAACGTCACCAAACGTCACTGCCACACACCGTGGTGTTCGAAAGGGATGCCTTGCGTGTCGTCACCCCAACACCCAGTTGTCCTATCAGTGGCTCAGGACCCAGCGGGTGGGGATGGCGGGGCCTAAGTAGTGGGGGTAGTCCAGCCAGAACGCCCAGACAGGAGGGTCCTGGTATGTGTCTCGTCATCCAACAGAGTGTCATAGTATGTCATAGCATGTCATCTTGCTGCTGTTTAGCGGCTGCTTTGGTTGCTCCTGTGAGTTCGGGCGGCTTCCCTTTGAAGAATGAAATTTGGGGCCATGAGCCTTGAGATACTGATACTGGAGGAAAGTATTCCAGAAGTATGGGAAGCCAGTGGCACTGTGTCGTTGTTGGGCATGCTGGCGATGTTGGGATGTTGATGTTGGTGATGGCCAGTGGTCAGCCAACCAAACCCTCCCAGCACCTCCCCAGCGCCTCCCCAGCACTTCCCTAGCACCTCTCCAGAACCTCGCCACCACCTTGGTGCTGGAGAGGTGCCGGGCCAAGCCGGGGGGAATCATATACCCATGCTATTTGGTCATTTGACATGGTTCCCAATGGGTCTTTGCGGCTTGTTCAAGTGTTTGTCACACTGGCCAACGGGCCAGCATGCGTAAAGACAACATTTCGCTGACAGTGCCACTGGCTTCCCATACTTCTTGAATACTTTCCTCCAGTATCAGTATCTCAAGACTGATCTCCCCAAATGTCATTCAAAGGGAAGCAGCCCAAACTCACAGGAGCAACCAAAGCAACCACTAAACAGCAGCAAGATGACATGTGCCATGGTTCTTGCCCCACCCCACTCTCCGACCTCCCCAGCAGTTTTCCTTACCCTTGGGCTTAGCACCGAGGTGAAGCGAAACGGGCGTTTCTGGTCGGCTTGGGAGTCAGACTTGGCACGATCCCTGCAGACTTTGGACCTCTCCTTCAACGCGACTTGGCATCGGCAACGGGCGCTCAACATGGCCCACAAGACAGCCCAACAGCAAGGGAAGTGAATCTTGAGACATCTTGAGACAATTATGTTGGGTGAAAAAAGGGGAAAAGCACATTATGTCGTTTGTAAAGGACTCGGACCTTCGGTGTTCCACTGTTAGTCGAGTATCCTTCATGGTTGTTTACACCCTTTTGAAGCGGTGGGGAATTCTCCTTTTGAAGCAAGACCAGCAAATGCCCCCCCTCTCCAAACAGTAACAGACCGAAGCAAGACAAGCAAATCATTCTAATGATTGGTCTAAGAGGATATATGAGGGCCATCCTTGGAATTTAGATGACATGTTAAAACATGTTAAAACAAATACGTCGCGCATTGTTGGAAGAGCTTTGTTGGACAACCTCTCATATGTTCCTCTCCAAGCGGCATTCCAAGCGCTCCTTCGGCGACCAGGACATCTCCTACGTGGCGAACATCCCTCGGGATGCACAGGCAGTGATTTTGGCCTCGAACCCTCCGATGGTCTTGGCGCCCGGCGTGTTGCTGCGCGCGGTGGAAGAGCACATTTTCCTGGGCCTGCAGAATGTGAGACTTCACAGCGTGGAAGCCGAACAGCTGTTGGAAGACAAGGACCCTTGGCCAGACTCGCCGGTCCATGCGGAGCACTGGGAAGCTACCGGATCCATGTGGGGTCCCTTTTCGTTTGAGATCAATCCATAGAACTCATTAGGGAAGTGAGAAAATCATGATGCTGTTGCATTGACATGGTTTCTCATGGTGTCTCAACTATTAGTTTTAGACATGTCTGTTCATATCTGTTCATCAAGCAACTTACTTGTTGAGATGTTCTTCGAACTCCCGAGGTGTTACAAATGACCCATCACCGAAGCATGTCCAGTGCCGATGGCAGTTTCGCTTGCTTTGATCTGGCAACAACCTCCCTACAGATCTCACCGGACAAGCTCCTTGGATTTGCCGATTGGAACTTATTGGAACAAGTTAACACTGTAGGTGCTTCCCTCATACTGGATGACCTTGTGCCTATATTGGGCTATCCGGCTATCCAACTTTCTGATGTCAGTGACCTCGGCCACCTCCCAAATAGCTCGCCGCACAGCATGTTTGGAACAAACCTTTGCAGACTGCAGATTGCCATGGGAAAGAACCAAGTCATACAAGACGTACCAAGCGGACTCCATGGACAAAACGATCCCATGGACCCGGGTCAAACCAGTGAGCTAGAGAACTGTCGGACTCAGGGTTCCATTCGACCCGGGTCCATGGGATCATCTAGCACCTGAGTGTATCACCTAGCACCTAGCACAGAGCTTTCGAGAGTGTCTCTTCAAGCGAAATCACCTGGACACCGCCTGGACACCGCTCCGAACTCGAGGTTCCTCCCAGAGCGGCTTTGCAGCTGCGGGCCGGGCTGGATCGGGAAGGGCACGGAGTGCCAGAAATGCCCGGCGAGCACCTTTAAGGAGGGCTCAATTAATTCATCACAGGATGGTTCCCCCCAAAAAAATGGTTCAATAAATGACTCATCAATGACTTGTATAAATACTTGCTGTAATTCGTCCAAAAATAGAGGCTATAGCGGCTCCCCTGGTTCTTTCAGAATCCGTTATTTATTTATACTTATCTTGTTATCTCCGCTTAACATGGTATGCTCAGGTGCCCTCTCAGAGCGTTTCCTCCTTTTCTGCCTTGGGGTTCCGAATGACCCAGGAGGACTTCCAGGGCAAGTGCAAGACATGCCCAGCCGGAAGCATGGCGAAAGAGGGATCTGCGTCGCCCAGCGCGTGCAAGTGTGGACTTGGAGAGCTTTACAATCAGTGTCTTGGAACACAAGAGCGGATCGTTGACGTATTGACATTTGCTATGAAATGCTGGGACAGCCAGTTGTTGTCATTTTGCTGGGTGGTGCTAGATATTCTATGATATTCTCAGTTATTCTTATATGTTCAACCTTTACTTGGGATGCTTTTTCACCCACTGACTCATATATTTGTCAAGTGAGTTGAAACCACCCTGACTCGTCAGGGTCGTCGCCATTGAGACTGATCATGCCCATGTAGTCGTAGATGGACCGAGCGCTCCAAAGCTGTTTGATACGCACTGTAGTTAGAAATGGTTTCCAATACATTTTTTGTTGGGATTTACATGATTTACTAATTTACTTATACTTGTGTTTGTTCTGTTTGGGAGTCGAAAATGTCGAAAACATCTGGGTTCTCCGTTGTAAATCTGGTCGTCCCGCTTTTTGAGGAGTGGCAACTGGACCTGCGCCTGCCCAGTGGAGCGAGCGCTCTTGGGCCAAGCCTGTGTTCGCTGCCACACTCGACACCTGTGTTTTGGCAAGAGAGAAATAAAGAGAGGTGAAGCAGCAACCAAGAGGACTCTTATTCAGGCAAGAGGGCAGATACAAGAGGTCAAGCAGGCTGCCCAAGGGGAGAGTAAGAACGGGGTGGTTTTCATGTGGTGGCCACTCATCAAGTGGCCTACGCCAGGGTCAGATGGAAAGAATCACTCCCAGTTCCATCCAGTTCCACTCGACGCTTTTTCTTGGCCCATTTAGACCCTCTGGGCGACCCAGCCAGGGTCTCCTGGGGGGCTCGCTATCCCGGACCATCCGGACTGGAATATATGCCTACATTGACCCCTGAAAACACCCAATGTTCAGGCTGTTTGGAGACCCTAACAGGTGGTTTCTGGGCAGACTTGTCACCAGGAAGCACCTGTGAAGTCGGGTGCTGGTATAAATGGGCTAGGCCATACCTGGATGGTCATTACACACACCCACATGTTGATGTCAACGCCTCTTCTTGCAACATGTGGAAGTCCATGCCCGGTGAAATGGAGATGCGTGTCTTGCTTATGGAATGGGTTTGTGGGGGAAACCATTTCTACCCAGGACGTACGTGGAAGTCCCTGCCCGACCGATGTTTGAGCGGTTTCCTCACGAAACAAAGAAGAGGCGGTGGAAAGGTTAACAGTTTTTTTTTCCAGGGAAGGTGGCCTGGCGATGTCCGCATGGTCAATTCGTCCGCTCAAAAAGATTGACCGGAAGCTCTGGTGCTCCCCACTTCGAGTGATGTCGGGGGAAGGATTGCAGTGACTGCACCGTTCACAATGAGCAGGGCCTCAGGGCCCCCCCATCACCTGCTGGGTCCACTGGTCCCAGGTACTGCTCCAGCCCTGGAAACCGAGTGGAAACCGCTGAGCCGCGGCGCGGCTACGCACGCCTGAAGGAGAAGGACGGGAGACAAAAGAAAGGGGCTTCCAGAGAGAGAAGGCTTTTTCCAGGGCGGTGTTGATGAAGAGAATGTTAAGGGCGGTGGTCCCCCCAAATAGATAGAACATGATAGACACGTTTTCCGATACTTTTTTTGTGGAGATCTACTTTTCTCTATCTATTTGGGGGTCTATACATAGGACATTATAGGATGTCAATAGGATTCCTATTGATTCCTGCACCACTGGGATAGGAAAAAACACACGAAGACGTAAATATACCTGATGACATTCCACAGACAGAAGTGTTATATCCAGTTGAGCTTAAGGGCACACAGATTTCTCATCTACAGGCATATTCATGAGGTCTATCGGCTATCGTCCCAAACCCTTCTGCAAGCAGGAGAGGGCCTATCCCAAGGGATAGGCCTATCTTCGGAGCTATCCTAGAAGCAGGTTCTGGGGCCAGTTCTGGGGCCTATTCTGAGACGCAAGTGAGAATGCTTGCTGGGGATGCTCCCCACATCGGACCAAATGCCAACTGCCTCCGGTCCAACCTCACTGACCAAGAAGCCTTAGAAAAAAATAGATTAACATATATATTGAAGTTGTTTAACACATATATAAAATCAACAACTTGACGGCCTCAGTGGCCTCAGTGGATCAAGGTGCCTTCGTTTCCGTAACGCTGCTTTACGGCTTTTTCCATGCCGGACCTATCCGCCCGCGGCGCGCGGCATCCGGAATGGAGGACCACCAGGCCTACAAATGTCTTCCGCCCCGCAAGACACGGTGCAACGCGTCGGCGGCCGTGAGCGGCTCGGAGCATCCGGAATGCAGCGATGGAGCCTGGGCGATGAGTGGGGGGGAGCGGCGGGGAGAGCTGGGGAGCTAGGAAGAGTTCGGGCTGGGAGAGCTGGGGGAGTTGGTTGAGGTGATCTTTGGACCTGGTTGGTGCAACATAGAAAGATGTTGGACCATGATGAAAGAAGACAGATGAACATTCTGGAAATCTGGGGCGTTCAAAAACGCATGCTTGTACTGGTAGAGCTTCCAACACATGACCATTGAGTTGTGCAAAGTCTGTCTATATACTCAAGGATTAGAATGGAGTACGGTGAATCTGGCTGAAAAGTCATGTAGTTTGAGGGAGTCTCCATACCAGAGGGACATCCTGCCAACAAAATGTTGGACTTAATTGTCTTAATTGTCCAGACAATTGGACTCCAGATCATGCTGAAGTATGTCACAGCCCACGACTAAGGCTATGTTGGCATCCTTTGCAGCACCTGCGATGCCAAGTATTACGCCAGCAAGACGCTCTGCAAACCCTGCCCACCAAGCTGGATTCCAGAGGCCAAAAAATCAACAAGCAAACGAGCTGTTTGGCCAGCTTGGCAATCATTTCTGCAACACTGTTGGTGTCTTAGACCTTCTGAGTCCTTTGGGCCGTCATCATCCCTCAGAGCCTTCTCAAGAATCACTACTAGATCAATTGTATTCAGATCTAACTGTTCTTGCTTCTACATTGCAAGACTCGTAGTTTTGAGCAAAGTTCAAAGTTGACAAGTATACTCGTACAACGCAGCCTCAACTATAATTTGCATGTGTGACGTGTGTGTGTGTGTGTTTGCTGTACACACGCCCCATTCATTTGTTGCAACACGACAAGGAGTCAAACCACTGATATCCACTGTTGACAGTTTGATGCTTTGAACATATGCCATTCTGCAGCAGCTTTCGGGGTTTCTTTTTTATACTACATGCGCACCTGGGTGGAGGCCTGTTTGGATGTCAAAGACGGGTCAGGTCAGTGGGCTACACTGGCTACACTGAACAAAAACGAAACGAGATTCAAAACGAACACCCAGTCATGAGCCTTCTTATTTGTCATGGGCGCGGTGTGTGCACAACATTGGTGGTAGAATGTGCGTGTTACACTTGAGCGGTAAATACGAAGGAAAGGCCATGTTTGCCTGCAACGATGCAATAGAGTAATAGAGTATTCAAATATACGAATGAATAGACAAAGGATAAAGGATAAAGCATAGCAATCATAAAGCATAGCAATCCATGTAATTGTGTAAGCTGGGAAATGGTCATGTGTGTTTTCTCAAGTGATGTTCAGCAAAGCCCTCTATAAAATGTCCAGAAAAGCTCAAACAAAATAATAAACACTGGCAGGCTTGGAAAAACACCATCTTCATCTCCTTGGCTTTGGCACTCCTTGTGTCTTCGGCTGCTGGAGCTTGGCTGTGGAGGCGTCGCATCGGCGCAGCGGTGGTGCCACCGCAGCGAAGGGGCCGCATGGAGGCGCTCAAGGAGCAGGTGGGCGCCTCAGGCAGTCTATGGTAGGTCTATGGATGTTAGGCAAGGTAATTAGATGTCTTAGGCGCCTCAGGTCTAGGTACGTCTGTGGATGTTAGGATGTCAGGCAGTCTATGGTAGGCAATTTGGGGGTCGTGACCCACCATGTTCGCCCGACCAGTCCACCATTTGCCGCGAACAACCCAAAACAGATACTCTCGGGTGTAAGTTAACCGGTCAGTATCCCTTTGATCCAATGCCATTTCATCCGCTTTGTGGAGCATTCTTCTTGACGGTTTGGCATGGAGATCTTGTTTTCAGGGCCAGATTACACTCTGATTCACTCACATGGAGGTGGAAGAAATGGATTCCGAAGACAGACGACTGTCCTTTACGAACCAGGGGGGGTGTGAACTCCACTTCCACTTCCATGTCAGAGTGTGCAAGTTCTTTGGGCCGAAGACATCGACGACGGCGGAGAGGTCGCAGCCCAAGCACCCATTTTGCTGCAGATGTGTCAGCTATGGGCTGTGCTAGGACGATTGACCAAAATACGCACTGCTGCCTAAGGTGCATCCAATGGTTATGTTTAACCAAGTGCAGAGTGCAGACTGGATTTGTTTGTGAATGTGGATTTTAATGCGATGCCTTTGGTGTACCAAATGCTGGCAAGTTGCCGCATCCGCATGTGTTTGCATCGAATGCGGTGTCTTTTCTCGACACATTTTCTTCCACAGGAGTTTCGGCTACGTCTACATCTGACTTGGAGACTGAGAAGAACACTGAGAAGTCGAGCTTTTGGGAAGTGCCTTACGTTGAGGCGCTGCTGTTTTCGGTGGAGAATCTCAAGGGTACCTTGAACTTGGAATGTCGCTTGGCATTTCGATGTTTTCGTCAAGCTTGGCCGGAGCAGCCATGGGCAGCGACGCGACGGTGGTTTCACGGCAATGAACAAGAGGCTCAGGTGTTGGACGAAGTGGAAGACAGGTGTCAGAAGGGGAGAAGCCGCTTATGAGGAGCTGGTGTGTTTATGTGTGTGTATTTTTCATTTTTTTACGGGCAAGTTGTGCAGCTGTATTTTAGTTGATCGCTTGCCACCTGATGAAGGTTGAGTATATAATTCTCAAACATTGTGGGACCTGTGTATTTGTGTGGTTGATCGGGGAGGGACTAGGCCATAGCACATATAGGTCAAAAGATACAGCATGATACAGCATTTTCTGAGGAAGAGTTTGTATGGGAGACAAATTAGATACCAAAAGATACAGCATGATACCGCTTTTTCTGAGGAAGAGTTTGTATGGGAGACAAATTAGATACATGCGCCTAGGTTAGGAAATCTCGACTGGCTGCTGCGAGATAAATATGATTATGATTAAATTATTAATATATATCGTTCAATTCAGAAAGTAATGCAGTCATTCTAATTATTATCTCAATTATATCAATTCAATTCAATTCAATGTTCAAATTCAATTCCCTATCCGTTCAATCGGGATTAGAATTCCATTGTGGCTAATGTAGTGATTATCAATTCAATTCCCCTAGCCTTTGGCCCGAAATCGAGCGTGGGTTTCATCAGGTGAACGGTTGCAGTTGCAGCGCCTCTGGTTTTGTGATATGATCGACTTGCATACAAGTGTCAAAATTACAAAGTGAACCTTGAAACTGCCTTTTCCCACCTGCCCATGCTGGTTGTCAGGATTAGAAACAGATGAGGCAACTACGATGGCCAAACAGTTCGATTCTGGAGTGACTTGCTGGCGCCGTTGGTGCCCTTGGCCATTTTGTTGTGCTGCTTGGCGCTGGAAACGCAGCGTGGAGCAGGCGAAGCACTTGGGAGTCTGAACTCGTTTTGTCCTTTATTCACACAATGAAGCCTTAAGCATCGACGCACCAAGGGCCCTGAGCACAGTATAGGATGAAGTGAACAGATTAAAAAACAACATGTGTAGGACACCCCTATAGGTAGTGTGGGGTAGTCCATTGGACACCCCGACAGGAGGGTCCAGGTAAGCTACAGATGATGTAGTCCAATCTTCTGTTTGTTGCCCACCCCATGTGCCTCTCTTGTTCCACATGTTGGATCTCGTAACCTCGCCGGAGCCATCCATCCACCCCCTCTTGTACTCAGTGACAGGCATCAATGCAGCCCTCAAAGCGATCACGTGGCTGGGCAGTGCTGGGTGTTCTGAAAAACCAGATGGGTTTATTCAAGGGCAGTAGGAGATGGTGGAAAACTACAGAGAATCAAGCAGTCTAATATCCCAGGACCATCCGACCATTTGGGTGCCCCATGTGTTTTCCCTAATTCAGCAGTGCAGCTGGGTGGCTGGAAGCCACACCCAGATGGTCGGACGTTTAACCACCCGTCGGGCCGTGACGGGTGGTTGGACGTCGGGGCGTTTCGAGTCTGGTCGTGTCGAGCCACGGGGCGGAATGAAGATGTCGGTCGAGTTGCCAGCGTTGCACAGGTCGTTGGTGGGTTTGAAGTGGAGTATGCCGTGCAAGAACAAAGGCAACGGACGAGTCAGTAAGCAGTCACCTTTGCATGAAAGATCCTGGATCCATGTGTTTTTTTTGCTTTTCTGAAGAGAACCGGTGGCATCGCCCCCAGCCCGCGGTCGGGGCTCCCAGGCTCTTCTACATCGGTGGCTGCGCCAGCTCCGCTGACCTCATGAGCTGCCAAGGCACCGACGGAGGCCTCTCCGATGGCGATGGCGTCGATCGGGTGTTTTGGGAGGCCGCTCTACGCATCGGGGAGAGGTGAACATATAGAGAACAGGAACGAACCATTGAAAAAAAATGTATATATAAAAGGTACTCCATATGATGTGTGTATGTGTGGTTTTTAAATGGCTGTTGAATGGGATGATCGAGTTGATTCGAACTCAGAAAGGAATGGTGAAAAGGGAGAGAGTACAGATGATGTTGCTGTTCACCTTTGTAAAGTTGCTTTGCCGCTTGAGACCAGTTCTTTCTCCCACCTACGATGATGCATGTCTCTTGTTTCAGGATCCAAGCAAATTGCTTCAAGAAGGCTGCCCGAACAGGCTGAACGTCCCCAAGGATATGATAGATGGACCAACACGAGATGGACTGATGTCCGGTTCGACGTTTGCAAAGGTTCACATCCCACGGCACCAATGTTCCCATGTGCTCTCTCTCCCTTGGGAAGAAGAGCCGAAGGACCGCCTTCTTTTGCAGAATCGCCATACGAATCACACCCGATTCATATCCGAATCACGCACCTCCACACAGTCTCCCACCCTTCCACATCCTGGTGGTTTTGGCGGGGCCTGCAGAGCGCCACTGGCGTGCACTGTATTCAAAAGGGCCGTGCCTTTGGTGCACCTTGGGGTCGTTGGAAGAAGAGTGCATTTGCCTAGTCTGCCCAGCAACCAACAGATACTGCTTGCCTACTGCCTCACGGCGTAGAAGTAGGTGGGCCTATGCTGGGAGTCCTGCCAATCCAACAGTACAACTTCAATTCTGCGAATCATACGCTCGAATCATACCCCTGAATCATACACCGAATCATGCCCTCGAACCATACCACCTATTCAAACTTCCCGGCCCGACTACAGTTTAAAAAGTACACACCCATGTCATCCCATGTCACCCAGAATCCACTAACAAACTTCCAAGAAAGCATCCAGAATGAATCGACATGTGACAAAAGATCGGACGGACGTGGCATCGGACGTGGCAGGTGACGACCCCCTTCCGGACACCTTCGTGTTTCGTAAGCGAATGCCCTACCTTTGGTGCTTTCGACAGCCCGAAACAGAGCTGAAGCGTTACGCCGGGGCTGCCCAGAGGAAGAAGGGACACCATTTGGTGGGGATCCCAAAGTCAGACCATAAGGGAGATCGAGAATGATCGAGATGATTCGAGATGTGTTTTTTGTCAGTTCCAAAAGGGTGGTGTTTCATCTTAGATTAGTGGATCACAAGCACCACTACCCACCTGTTTGAAGCTCCTGGCTAGGACAGTTGAAAGGTTATATAGACATATTACATGCTTTCAAGACTCTATCTATTTAGTGGTGGTGCATTGTGGGTGTCATGGGATGTAATGACTTGAAGCATGTGTCTATGGTAGGTAATGTGGCAAGGTTTGTGAAAGCTTGTTCTCACCTATCAACTCAATTTGGCCGACAAGTGGTAGAATGTGCTAAATACATGTCTATGCTATATACTCTACTGTAGCAGGCTACAAGTAAGTAACCTATCAATAGTTCTGCAGCTAGAATTGGTCTGAAGAGTTCGGATGGCCGCGGTTTTTTCGTTGTAAGTAGCATTCCATGTCCATGTCTAAGCCGCGGGGATTCTTGGGATATTGGCATACAGTATTGTTCATCCAACATGGTGACCGGTCTATAAGCAGAACTGGTGAGGATCGCCAATGTTTTTTGCCCGTCCATGAGGTGGATGCCGTGGGCTACTTTTGCCGCTTTTGCTACGGCATCATCATCCCCAGCTGCTTGCTCTACCTCTATGCCCCTTGGATGCCCCCACCGCGATCGCCGCGCTTGGGCAATGAGGAACTCTGCCAACCAACTGGTACTCTCAACAACGGACCTTCCAACCTTCCTGCCGGACCGGCTCCAAGGTTCTTTCCGGCCCCGTTCTCCCAAAAAGAGGCGCACCACGGCCACTCTCGTGAGCTGCTCACCCTGCTCCACAGCCCAGGTACGGCAGCAGGTGCTCTTGCAGCCCAGCCGAACGGTCTTGGCCTCGTCGCGCATCGAATCGGAGGAGGTCATGACCTTGCACCTTCACGAGGTCCGTGGCTCCGTACAGCCTTTGGAGGAGAGGGAGAGAGAGAGAGAGAGAGAAAATGAGTGCTTCTGCAGCTTTCTGGGTGGATGACGGGGAATGAGAAGAAGTGAGAACATGAAGACAGAAGTTGAAAGAAACAAGGTCAAGCAACTACTGTATAGCCTTGAACGTATATATGAGCTGCCACCTATACCATACTCTGCTCATTTACCATCATGCACGTGCCCCACTTACCAACTCACCGATCTTTCAAATGTGAAGCTTCGCTGCGTTGTGCGTGAAGCTTGGCAGGCAGCAGAGTGAGACTTTGAGTCACCAAAATCCTATTGGATTGGGGCGAGTCCTTCCATGTTGACTCACCACTTCCGGAGGAGGATCTTAACCATATATACAGCTATACCTGGACCATCCAAGGGGTGCCCTGTCTGGAAGCCAAGCTAGGTAGTGTGGGGTAATTCGTCGCCAGTGTCCACCCCGATGGTCGGATGGTCCTGGTAGATTTAGTTCGAAGTCTCGAGTTCACTCGGTCCCGCGATTCGATCTTCCAATCCGCGGATCACAGGAGGAGGCCGCCGCACGGCGCTTGTTGAGCTTTGCGTCGGCGTACGTGGCAGTGTTGAAGCGGGGCCAGGTGCAGCTCGCGCTGGTGGATGGTGCGGTGTCGCCTGGCAGAAGGCGATTCATTTGAATAGCTTAGCTCAAGTAGGGGAGATCACCTGATGCTCGGGAAGTGGATGAGATGTGGGGATTTGGGGGATTGGCTTCATATCACATGTGGTGGGACTTGCGAAGACTCGGTGAAATCGTCACAGCGTTTTGGGTGGCGTGTTCGGTGCTTGGAATTATGAGCTGTTGAGTTCTTCCGGCGGGCTTTGTTCACAAGTATGTGCAATTCAAAAGCAACTTATATAAAAAGGCTTAAAAGGCACTGTTCTTGCTGACCCTTTCTTAGGCCCTGTTCTTGTTTCAATCACTTCAACGTCCTCTCTCAGATAGCAAGGAGGATGGACAGTCCTGTATAAGTCCACGGTCTCCGCTGTTCTCGGACCCGCGGACCCGAGGACCGTGACGTCGCTTCACCCGGGTCGTTCCAGCACGGAGGAGCTCGAGGTCGGGGGGGGAGCGGCGGCCCGGATGGGCCGGCAGGGCCGAACCTTTGGGGAACGGAGAGTCCAGATGAGCACGGACGGAGCGAAAGAGCTGGGAGTGCGGAGATGTTGGGAGTGCGAAGGTGTTCGTGACGCCGGCCACACATAAGGCCTTCCCCTTCAGAAGGTCGGACTCCAATTCCAGTTGGGGTGATTTCTCCCCCCCCAAACCGCTGTGTGTGAGGAAGACCTCGCCCATTCAGGGCGCCCCTGCCTTTTCGCGCGGGCGATGGTCGCCCGCGCTTGATGCTCCGGAGCCCCAGGCACTGAGTCTGGTGGGTCCCATGGACATCAAGAACCAGGCGAGACCGAAGGTCGAGACTCGAGACCATCGGGCAAAAAGCTCGTGCTTTGGCGCAGAACTCCGACCGGTCTCCCGCTCGAAACGTCCAGTGCTTAGGCTTAGAAGATCGTCCGGGTGGACAAAGTGGCACCTACAGTGTCGACTTGCAGGTCTTGCTGATACGAGTGCATTCCTTTATTACAGTGTTTCCCTATCTGTGCAGCATAGCTCTTGCAACCCCGCAACCTGCCTATTTATGTCGAGAGCTGGCCCGCATGGGAGGCCTATGTTTGTTTTGCGTAGAAGATGATTTGGTGTCATTGGCCTCCTGTGGTGTTGTTGTTGTTGTTGTTGTTGTTGTTGTTGTTGTTGTTGTTGTTTAAAGTCGGCTTTGGCCTGTCCAGGACATAGCATGTCGCTTAGAACTTTTGGCCATAGGCCTGTTCGACCTCCAGAAAGGAACTCTACGGAGTCCGCCGGCCATGAGCGCCCGCGAACGGCTGCGCAACCTCTTGGGCGCGTGAGAAGAAGAAGTTTAAAGTCGGCTTTTTCTATTGCCCCCTCTGGAGATGTGGGCTTGCCGAAATGGTACAAGTTGAGTAGCAGCTGGACAAGTTGAAAAGTGCTTTGGCGGACGAAAAAGGATAATTACCGTGATACCATGTGATACCCTTATGCTATTTTAGGGACCACTATAGGGTGTGATTGGCCTGCCAGCTAGCAGTGGCCAGTCACTGCTGAGGTTTTAGGTGTGTAGTGTTCACCAGAAATTCATCTTCACACTTAACCCGCCCTGCTTATGGTGATCCCAAAATCTGCTTCTTGATACATATCACCTCCCGTCCGCTCTCCCGTCTTCCAGGTGACCACAATCCGCTGTCGCTCGATTTCGGAGATGATTTTGGAGCGCTGCGTCTTGCAAGAGGTGGCGCCCAGCGATCGAGCCTTGGATGACACTGACTAGTAAGTAACAAAGGGCATTGCTACGAGGAGCAAGGACGCTCCTAGTACTTGTAGCTCCTGGCCTTACTACTAGTAACACGAAGTTATTTGAGCAAAGGCTTTGCTACTAGTCACAAAGGGCATTACTACTAGTAGCATTCTTACAAGAGGCGCCAAGCGGTCGAGCCTTGGATGACACGAAGGCTCTTTTTTCGGGAACGAGCGAGAAACGCCCGTGCGATGCGCGGGGCATGTCCTCTGCAGGTTCAGCAGGAATGTCGTTTTCGCCTTGGTGTTTGTGGTAATTTGTTTTGGGTGATGTCATGCGATGTCCCAAAGAAAACGATTGGACAAGTGCTATAAGAGTTTTGGTTTCTCTCTTTCAGCATTCTCTATTTTCAGGACCAGCAACGAGTCATTCGAAAATCGTTTTTGGGCTGGAAGTTGAGAATGCACTCTGACCCTGTTGATGAGACCTGTGGCTCATGTATTGAGCGGAGGCACTGAAAGGTTTAAAAAGGTCGCACTCTCACGGAAAGGCGCCCTGTTGAAAAGCGGTTCTAGAAGATCAAAAGAAAAATCTAGAACTTATATTGGTGGTTGTCTGATTTTGCCGCTCTCTTCCTCTATACAAGGAGCGTGGATGCACAAGTCGCTGGGAAAAGGGAATTTCATGAGTGTTTTTGGTGCAGAATGCCCAAATACCAAGGAGTGCTGGCTGGTGCCAGGCAGATGATGCTCAAATACGCTGCTTGGAAACTAAACAGGCAAATCCTCAAGTCCAGCTTGTTACAAGGATCGACCTTCGATAAGAGGATAGTGGTTTCGTTTCAGCGCCGAGCCTGCGCGCCAGGTTTGTGCAGGGAGAATGTGTTTGACTTGCCACGACATCTATGAGGAATGTTGTATTAGTTGTATATACTGAGAGGAAGTGAGATAGCCCATCTCACTTGTGCCACAACTCCTATGTCATTTGCGGGTAGTATAGTTGATTTACTTGTAGGATAGCCCGGATGGCTATTTAACCATCTTCCGTGTTTGGGGGGCCTTTGGTGTGCCGTGCGCTTGGCCTTGGCCTTCCGAGCCTGGAGTTGTCAGAGCTCAAGCAGCGCTGAGGCTTTGTGCGGCAACCTTTGGATGGAGATCCTACTGAAGTTGGTGGCGGTGTCGCTGATCTCAGTGGCATGGTCATAAGTCATGATGTGGGGCGTCCGTGGGGATTATGATGGTGTGCGTGACTGAAGTCGATGGTTCATGTTCTTTCGGTGAGCAGCTGGTATATTTTGTCCATCCAACACGTGATTTGATGTTGTTGATTCGAAGGATCACTGAGCAATGAAGACTTTCCCACCAGCCCTTGGGCTTATTGTGCCACCTTTGTTGTGGATCAAGACCTCAGGCTGATGGCAGAAAGCTCTCTTTGTTGATCTCCTTGGCAATCACCTTGGGGATGGCCGCCACCTTTGCTTTGGTACAGCCCTACTTGCAGCCACAGGTGCCACATGGGAGGCATATTCTCACATCTTGGATGCGAGGGACAAGTGATGCTTCCCAGAATGAACTTAAAGCACAGGTTTGGGCTGTTCCAGAATAATTCATCTACAAAGATCTACAAAGAAACCTCGACCAGTCATCCATAAGCCAGAATGATGCCAAAAGGACTGCGCTAGGTGACATGACCCTCATTCTTCAGATCGTTTGCTGTGTTGGGCAGCGCTTATCAGTTTCCGTCACAACGTGGGGTTCGATTGGGGTTCTGTACGTTCTGTGTGCCCCTGCTCGACGCTCGACGACCCTTTTTTGTTCACGAAAAAATGCCAGGTCAACGCGCTCCAATGCTGCTGCTTCTCCTGTCCCTTGGCCCATCTTGGCCAGATCCTCCCTCGCGTTTAGTGGAGACACTGGAGCGTCTATCGTTCGGGCGGCTGCACGGGGTGTTGCTTGTTCCACTTGACATAAGCTCATGAGCTCATGTCAACCCAGTCGTAGTTCTGGTCATCCGATGCTGGATCCTTTTACCTTTAACCTTTTGACCCCTTCCATGTATCACTTGACCCCAGTGATTAAGATATTATAGGGGATAAGAGTAATGCAACCCTCCATTTCCATCTACTTGTGTACAGCCAAAAATGCCATCCACTCGTGATCCCCTATAATATGTTCAGTCTTCTTGGCCACCAGAGTTCGGAGACCATGGACTTCCGACGATGTTGGGCACACGAGTTCGGAAATTGGCCCCGGAGGCCTTGCGTTGTCAGTGCTTGGCTTTCACAACGGCTGGCCCTACTTGAGCCGCTTCGCATTGCTACTACCCTTCCTACTCAGCGCGCTACAAGCTTTGCGGCCGGATAGTGCACCAAGCCTGGCCGTGCGCTTGTGGGAGGTGGGGGCCCGTCCTGTTGTCTGACGTTTTTGGGGGGAAAGAGGATGTTTACCTATCGGAACAGGTGTTGTTTGTGCTTCAGGTTGGCAAATTGATGTAATTGTTCAATCTTCTCTTGAGGCGGATGAGGCTGTCAATCGGGACCTTAGAACATCCTTGCTTAAAGAGTCTAACAAGCCAGATTTCTTGATTGCTTGCCTCAACAGAAAGCCTCGCATAGAACCTGAAGCGAATGTGACCCGTCTTGCCTTCTTGGGCGAAACCAACCACCTTCAACCCCCCCCTCTTTCGCTTGGGGCGGAGCCTCGGCCTCTCGACGACCTGGCAGGAACTCGAACCTCAGCTGGGAGTCTTCCGGAAGGGCCACAAGATCGAAGTGAGAGCCGAGACCTTCTCGTTCCTTTGAGACCCGGTCGACCGACCTCCGGAGAAAGCAACAGAAAGAGCTCCCCAAAAAAACCCACCTGGGTCGACCGCCCGCCCAGCCCAACCGTGGAAAGAACAAGCGAAGAAAAGGCCGCCCCATCCGTGAACATAAATCGGATATTCTCAACCACCCGCTTCTCAACCTCAGAACATCTCCAAATCCGGAGGTTGAGAATACTTTGAGGCCCCAGACCCATCCCAGGACCCCTCCGGACCACCTGGTTCTCTGAGCGAACGAAGAAAAAGGAGGAGAAAGAGATAGACAAGAGATTCAAAGAGTCATTCACCCGTTTCATACGGCCTTGGTTTTTTTGGTTGAGGGCTAAGCCCTGGTCACCCTTCTCGTGCTTGGGAGATGCCGGGGCGAGTCGGCCATGCTCGCCGTACATATCTTTAAAATATGTTTAATACCCTTTTTGGGTCATTGCTTCACCATCAACATCCAACAGGTGGAAAAGGGCCAAAAACCTGTTATTGATTTCACGGCTTGGGAGTCTTGGGAGTAGAGTCAAGGGGTTGAGTTGGTTTAAACTCCCACAGGATGGGTCGAGATTGGTGGACGGACTGGTCATGTCATACACGGCCAGGCCTGGTTTCATGTTTGAACAACTTCGCTGCAACTCCACTGTAAAACCTGAGTGACCTGCAACTGGCGTCTTTGGAAGGGACGAACCTTGACAAAGAAGATGTTGTACAGGTCGACACTTTGAGGTGCCAAAACACTGTTGAGACTCGGCCCGACTGTCGAACTATGCGACATGCGACTAGATCAAGGCTATGCCAACATGGCTTGGGTCTGATCCATGTCATCAGGCCTCATAGAGCAGATTTGAGGCACCAGGTGATCATCCAATTGACATACCCCGGCGTAGGCGTGAAGCTCTTCGTGTGCGCGGTCGGGGTTCCACCCAAGTGGATGGTGGATAAGCTCCATGGTGCTGGAATCATTTGCATGCGCCTTGGCAAGGAACTCTGAGCCTGTGACTGGCTGAGAAGAACCAAGCGATACCCACACCGCCCACGATACCTCAGAAGGTCTCGGAAGTAAGTATCTCAGAAATATATAATAAGTACAGGCAAATACGGGTGAGGATGGGGGGGAAGTTTGTTCCTGACCATCCCCAAGAATATGAATGGTTTGCCTCGTGTCTTGAGAGCTGGCGACTCCGGTGACCTGACCTAGAAGATCTACACCACCTCGGCACCGACATCCGGGGATAGAACACACATGATTCACCCACACGGATCCCTCCTGGCCTTACTACTAGGAACAAGAAGCTACAAGGGGCTCCTGACATCGCTACTAGGAGCAAGGACCCTACTAGGGGGGGCTCCTGGCCTTACTACGAGGAACAAGAAGCTACAAGGGGCTCCTGGCATCGCTATTAGGAGCAAGGACACTACTAGGGGCTCATGGCCTTACTACTAGCAACAAGAAGCTACTAGGGGCTCCTGGCCTCGCTACTAGGAGCAAGGACACTACTAGGGGCTCCTTGCCTTACTACTAGCAACAAGAAGCTACTAGGCGCTCTAGGAGCAAGGACACTACTGGGGGCTCCTTGCCTTACTACTAG